GAGGTATATGTTGCTGTTGTTATGTGCCATCAAGTCGGACCCGACTCATAGCGACCTCTCCTTGGGTTGCCAAGGCACTATCACTATGGAAGTAGACTGCCCAATCTTCCTTCTGAGAAGCGGCTGGTGGGTTTGAACTGCCAGCCTTCTGGTTAGCAGTCAAGTGCCTTAGGCACTATGCTACCAGAGCTCCTAAGGAGATGTACATAGATACTAAGTTAACAAGGGGTAGATTGTGATGATTAATGTTATATGTCAGCTTGGCTAGACAATTATTCTAAAAGGGTTTGGCAGACATTAGACTGGATGTGTTTCCAAAATGCAATGTGAGGTAATCACCTTCCATGATGTGATCGGATGTAATCAGTCAGTTAGTTGAAAGAGAAGTTTCCTTGGGAGTGTGGCCTGCCTCTAAAATATAAATGGATGTTCTGGCAAAAGTTCACTCTCTCTCGACCCTGCATGCTTCTTATCACCTGACCTCCAGTTCTTGGGACATAAGGCCTGCTGAGGTCTTCAGCCTGCTGCCTGACCTGCAGATTTTCAATTTACCATCCTCTGAAGATAATTATAAAGTTGGATAAAACAAAGTACAAATACCTTCTTGAAGGCATCAGATAGCTAATCATTTAATGAAGAGTCATCAGGGTAAGATCTAGGAAAAGCAAGAAATCCAGAAGGGTGAGCCCAGCTTTTGGTATTGTTTTTGTACCAAGAGTTCTCCATCGGAAACATGATACAGAATGGAGCAGGGCTATAGCAGCTCAGTAGGTACTACTGAGTAAGTCCCTCTGTACTTTGGGCTGGAACCCTAAAAGCTACAACCAAAAATTAAGAATAAAATCAAAAGTAAACTAGCCCTCACACTAATTGCAGCTGACCTTTGAGTCAGCTGGGTAGCACAGAAATCTCATTTTCTGAAATTGCCCTAGGACTGTTAGTAACCCTAGATGTCTGACAGAAACAAAAGAAAATCCTCTCTGAAACCAGATAATATCCGTTTAGACTTCAAATTACTTCTATAAACAATTTTTCAGATATGCTGTCTGCAATACAATCAAAGATAACCAGACACAAAGAGACTTGTTGTTGTTGTTAAGTGCCGTCGAGTCGTTTCCGACTCATAGCGACCCCATGCACAGCAGAACGAAACACTGCCCGATCCCGCACCAGCCCCACA